GTCTACACGGCATTTTCTCTAGACATGATCTTGACATTTCAGGTCACTCTACAACTGGTACATGTCAACATGGCATGTCTACATGGCATTTCTCTAAACTGGAGACGTCCGGTCCCCGAAAAATATCCAGCTCTCACCTTCTATGATTTGGTTTTCATGGACGCTCATCACTCGTCTTTAAAAGATTGCCAAACGCTCTCCTTGATTGATGATCAGGAGGCTTCCACTGGCACTGCAAAGCGCAACTTTGGCGAATTGCGGACATCGATCAAAGACCTCTGACATCCCTTTGGGATTCGGATAGCGCGTCATGTGGCCTGATGTGGCATGATGTGGGACATGGCCAGTCAAAGCCCCAAAGGTCTGTTGAGAAGGAATTGCCATGAACAACAAAGATTTTTCAACCTACCTTTTGCCTTTGTTTAAACCATGTGTTTGCAACAAGGGCCCACCACGATGAAGCCAACTGTTCAATGGCTTTGTGGTGACAGAAATGGCCCCTTCCGTGCACATGGCAACGCATTTTTTCTGAAAATGTGGCTGGTCCCCAGTTACGTTTGCATACTGCCACGCCTTTGTGCGCACTGCCAAAAACTGAGTGGCCGGCTCAATGGCGCCCGGTCATAGCATCCACTGTGGTGCACAGGCGGAGCGAAAGCGTTGGCACTTTACAAGAAAGGCGGTCATGGCCCCAGAAGTCATTGTTTTTGCACACGAGTCGGGAACTCCGTTGGTTGGGTATATGGAGCTGTCAACAGTTCCCATAGGCAATCGGTGTCCCGGTGTGTCACAGCCTGTCGGCCACACTTGAGAAGTACTAAAGCTTCAAATTAAAAGGCAACATATCACGGGCGCAGAAGACAGTAGATCACGGATGCTGGGTAGACTAGGTGGTCACATCCACATAAAAGACTCCACTGCCAGGGGGGAGGGGAGAATTTCAGAAAGCATCAGCCGCCACCGCATTTCCATGCGCCTTGGCCGGCGCATCTTCCACGCCCAGCTATCCACAACAGGCTTTCAAGGTCAGAAGTCATTACTAGAGCGCACAAGCTCAGGCCTCCGCATTCTGGTCCCTTACAGCACGCAGTATTCTCAACACTTTGGTCTCCCAAAGCATCTGCGCGCAGGCTTGCTGTACTGCAGTGGTTTGGATCGGACTACATCAAGTAAGCGATTCTGCAGCGCAGAAAAGAAGGCCGCAAGACCTTGCGAACAGAAGCTCTGGCGTGGAGGCAAGGAAGGGTCAGTGCAAGTGATGTGCAACTCATTATTCATCGTTTTCCAAGCAGCGTGCTGCAAAACGTTTATGCCAGCACTCACGGATAATCTTGCTCTTTAGTCGAACTTTTGGCACCAAAACTAGGTATATGTTTGGCCAGCAAAAGGCAATCCCTTCTTCTACTGCCCTGCCAGATTTGGGGCCCCATTTTTTGCGACGACGAATCTGCAGTCGCATAGTTAGACCACCGTGAGATCTGGAATGATGGTTTCTGTGTCATCACTTTGCGGGCTGCGTGGGGCATACACACACATAGTAATTGGTTCTAAATAGACATCAACTGGTCCCGACACATCTTGGCCAACTATGTAAATGCTGCCACAGTGTCATGGCACTACGCAGTCAATTCAAAAGGGAAGGGACGCCAGGATTTCTGGTACCCTTTAAACTGCGTCAGATTGTCAAAGGTTCGGTCAACATGCGTGCCTTTGAAATTGGCTTTAAAGCGTCGCAATGACTCTGGAAGGTTCTCTTGCAATGAAAAGGCGCCACCTTCTTGCAAACGTTTGCAACCCGCGAAATGGAGTTCTAATTCGATGAGTTTCGACTTGCTGACACGGTCGCCGACTGACTTCAGGCTCGCATCCGTCAGGTATTCGCAGCCCACAAAGTCCAGGTGAAGGATCTCCAGAGACTTCAGCTGCGAAACCTGTCCCGCCAGTGCTTGCACAGAGGAGTCTGTTAAATGACTGCAACCCTCGAAGCTGAGCTTGAGATTCTTCAAAGAGCTGGGCAACGATTCCGCCAGCTTCTTCACCGCAGCATTGTCGCAGCCCTCGACGTGCGCCAAGCTCAACTCTAAGGACTCTCTGAAACCGTCCGAGCGCAAGGCGTTGCAGATCTTGTCCATGCCAGGGCGCCCTGAAAAAAGAATGACGACACAAAAAAATCCTGCAATTCTTCAACTCAAAAGTTCCGATTTCAGAGTAGATGGCAGTGTACCTCAAGATGTGATATGGGGGACATCTCGAATTCACTCCTTGGAAGGGCTTCGGACCCGCTATCTACTCGGGCACGACGTCCAGGACGGGGATGGAAATCGAGCCGACAACGCCCAGCTGGCAGAAGCTGACCAGTAGCCCAGCTGGCTTCGTTATAACTTCGCTGAGGAACCCTTGTTCGTTCCTTTTTTCTTAGCGGTCTTAGATTGCGGTTGTTTTGTTCACACCGTTTCTTCGCGTTTTCGCCCTTCGTTGGATGATTGGGTGCGCAAAAGCGCGTTCGTGAACGCCCGTTCTGGGGCCCGATTTCGGCTGCGCCTTTTCCCTGAACCCATTGGTTTTCGCTTGGGCCACCTTGTTTCCAAAAGACTTATTTTCATATTTTGTCAATTCTGAGGCTTTCGGGTCACCAATAAAGAGGCAGAAAGCTAGATACAGTAGACAAGGGTACACATTGCACGCGGGTTTTTCACAAAGGAACCCTTCAACAAGAAAAACATCCACAGCATCATGCATCCAACACAGTTCGACAAGAAATGGATTATCGGCATCCATTGCAGGAGAGCAGTGAGCTTGCGACCTCAACCAGGAAATGTGTGATATGTCAAATCAAGCGCTGTACAATCCGCCCACATTCCAAAACACAACGGTACGGTGTAATGACGTTGGCATCAGTTTCATTTATATAAATTAAGCTGTGGCAAGTCGCCAATTCTGTTCCAGCATTATTTCCATCAACAAGGCTCCATCAAAAGTTGTTGGTAACTTACTGCGTGGCAAGCTGGCTCAAGCAGGATCACCGATCAGAGCGGTCGAGCGGTCGCAGGGACGACCAGACCGAACCGGACAACGAAAACGGACTCAAAGATGAAACAACTTGATGCTTCACTACAACATCTGGGGTGTGAAGTGTATCTTGGAAGAACCAAACATATGGTTTTTCTCGGATCATTGGTTACACAAGAAGGGTATCATGCCCCAAAACATGTTCAAGTGTATCCTTGAAAAAAGAACCCCTTTCAACGAAACCTCCATTTATGCTCATCTCATGCAATCAGAGATCCAGCCTTTCTTCTGCATGGCCTGGGGCCAAGCAAGAACTGCCAAGGTTGACCGAAGGGTATTGTTGGCTCGGTCTAAGTTCTGGCGCAACCGTGCCTCTCCTTCTTCTGAACTTAGGTCGTAGTTGTCAGCAATGGCTCGGAAGATGTGTTCCTTGTCCTCCTTGACCGTTGCATTGCCTGAGAGGGGCCGGTCTAAGTGGCTTGAGAAAGACGTTTTTGAAGTCTGAGAAGTGAGGAGTCAAAAGTCAGTCCTTGCAAACGCAGAGCGCAACGAGCCGTGTCCTGCCTTGTCAAAGGTCATATCACTAAAACCCACTTTTCGGAAGCGCCCCTGTGCCCCGAGACAGCCTTCAAGCCAACCGCAGAGGGGCACCAACAACAACTCCTCCTTAGGTTAAGGTCTTTCCATACCTGCATTGACAGTCCATCTCAAGCAACAGCCAAAACCTCCGCGCTTTACGAGTTTGTTGCCACAGGTCTCCCAAATTTCATCTCAAGCAGCAGTTCGCATGACTCGCTCAAATTGTTCAAAGATGCATTTGACATGCCCTACTTTGTCCACAGCCTTATCGTCAGATGCTTTTCGGAAGTGCCCTTTTTGCCCCGAGACGGCCTTCAAACAAAGCGCCACAGGGCACAAACGAAAACTCCTCCTTAAGATCTTTTCTGAGGGCTAGTAACAAGTGCATCGCTACTAGTAGCTTCTTGCTACTAGTAGTAGTGCCCTTGTTACTAGGAGAGAGGAGCTACTACTAGCAATGCCCTTTGCTACTAGTAGCTTTTTGTTCCTAGGGCCTTGGCGTGCTAGGTGCCACTTCGCAGCTTCCCCAGCTTCCACGCTCAAAACATGGCCATGAACGCACCACCTCGACCACCTCGACCTATAGTAGACGCCGCGGCCTTGAACATGCTTTGGCCCCTAAAAATGCATATCAACCGCTGCGGCGTCGCTCGCATCACCAATTGGCCGTCGTAGCGGTAGATGAAACGACGACCCCATGTTTTCATATGTTTTTCGCTCTCCCCACCAGGCTCTGCGCTCACCCCTTAAAGCTCACGTCGTTCACCTAATGACCTAATAGAATTGGAGCCTAGCTTGGCTGGCTTTCGTAACAAGTTTCACCCGCATGGCCTTCCTCAAGACAAAGTTCAAGACCACGACCCAACAGATCAATTGGGAAGTCCTGCTCGCGCTTGGTTTTTGCAACAGAAGACTCGCCAGGGACAAGGTTTGTGGTCAAAATCCTGGTTTTCTCAGTGCCAATGGCTGCTGCGATATCGAGCTCCATCGCCTTGTTCATGATCGCTGCATAAAGCTCAAAGTCGCACCAGATGCGGGAGAAAGGAGTTGCCTTTTCATCCAAAATCACCAGTAGACCCTTGGACGTTTTGAGGGCTGCGAAGAAAGACGTGGCAACAACATCATCTGCGATGTCCAAGCCAAGCTCATGCTGGCGATTGGCATAGCCACAAACCCAGTACCCAGTGCCTTCTTCTAGCCGGCGCAACTCTGCGTGCTTCCGGCAGCACTGCACAAAGGAGCGAACGGGCTCGCCCCACCAATGAGAGGTGTAGTATTCAGACTTGCATGCTCTGGTTGATAAATGCTCTTTGTAGCTGATGGACTTTTCAGCCACCACACTCATCTCTTCTCCCGGAAGGACGCTGGTTCCACACCAGATCTCAGAGCACATGGGTTGGAACTGTCCTGGTCAGATGGAGTCAACAGGGTCACACCTTTCGACCACCTTGAAAAAAGGGTTCTACAACTTGAAAAAGGCGGGTCCAAGCCATTCAAAACATCAGCCATACGCTTTTGGTCGTTCATCCTTGTGTGTCTATCAGACAGTGTCCTTGCAGTAAACGAATCCAAATCTTCAACTTCTCGCCGTGCACGTCCTCGACTTTTTCTGCACGAAGCACTTTACCACGAGCGACTGGAAGTGCCATCTCCATCTGGCCACTTCTTTGGCAAACTTCTTGCCCGGCTTCGGGGATGACTGTCATCGATGCTGGCCATTGCAAGAGAACGCCGTCATAGGGAGCCGTCCGAGGCAAAATACAATGATAGGCAAACTGGTACAAATTGGCTTCTCCACTTTGCACTGCTTTGCCTGTGAAGGCATCTTTCCACCCGTCGCACATTCCAAAGAGCTCCTGCAACAGCTGTTGCATCTCAGGCACTGTAACTGCTCGATCTTCACTCCCAAGATTCGTCCGCTGATTGTGACGAAGCACTTCCCTCAACTCCTCCTCATCATTTGAGGCCATCAACTCTGGAACTGCATGAATGCTCTGTCGCCGTGTCCATGACTTCGTCAAAGAAGGTCCCCCCCCAGAAATCCCCGCCGACAACGGCTCCATGGCCGTTGTCGTGATTGAAAGGGAATGCAGCGCTTCCTGAAAGTCAGCGCTGGTCTTTTGTAACACTGTGCTCATACTCACTAGGGCGTCGTGTCCCCATTCTTGTTGCATCTGGATGCGGATGATATCCACAGCTGTGGTACCTCTCTGAAGCCGCAAGCAACCCAGAAGAAAGTCGGTGACTTCAATCCCACCGGTGCTTTGGGAGGCCAAGATCTCAAAGACCTGTGTTGTACATGGATTGACATGCCAAAACGTAGCACCAAACCACCCTTTTCTCGCAACAAACACAGGAATGCCCAAATCAGTTTTGACCCCAAAGACAAACAAAGCGCGCTTAAACATCCAAGACCAGGAACTTTCACAGCATCTGACGTATCCACGTCCAGCGCTTCTAGAAGTGCAAGCATCTGCTCATTTTCCATTACAAGCTTGAATTCAACCTCAGAAATGGTTCCGTTGTGGTTTTGATCGATCTCTCTGAAGCTTGCATAGAACTTCTTCAACTCCTCCTCCAGATCGCTGAAAGTTGCTCGCTCTTTCTTCCAAATATAACTTTGAAGGCCGCACATGAAGCTGGTGGTTGCATTCACCACAACCATCAGCCCGAAGACGGTGGAGCAAATGAAGAAGACTTGGACATACCACTCGGAGTGCTGCATTTCATGCCAAACCTCGTGCCATAGCATTCCGCTGTATTGAATTTGGTACAAGGTGATCATCGATGATTGCAAGTCACCGAATTTCTCGCACAGTATGCTACTGTTTGGACAGTTTGACCACATGCTTTCTGTCAAAATCAGCCCACAAAAATAGTTGAAGACAAAGACCATCAAAGCAGGCCAAAGCATGACCTTCACAGGGATGCAGGATGCTGGACAAATGCAGTATTTCACGAGGAAAATGACCGGCTTTACCATATTGCACTCGGACTCGAATTCCTTGGAAGACCACTTTGCTTGGGAAACAGTGGGTGTTAGAGGGAGGTTTCGGCTTCTTCCGGCGACCCTACTTTCATCGGCCTTCAGGCTCCGGATCATCGATGCAATCATCACACGCAGCTGTTTAAACTGCCTCAGTTCCTGTACCGTCGAGAAGCACCCCACGATTCGTAGGGCACGCCCTCCACGGACTAAGCCTGAGGCTGTCTCCAGGCCACGAGAGCCTTGGGCGGCCGCCACAATCAACACCAAGAGACAAAAAGAATCAAAGAAATTCCACCACCGTCTAGGTCCAGTGAAGAACTTCTGTTGCTGCGTGCACATCTTCACGAGGAGGTCCACGCCAATGACGCTGCAGAACAGAATTTCAATCGGGAGAGCCCATTCCAATGGACCGCCATGGCTTCCGAACTGCAGGTTGATGCCGATGAAAATCACATAGCTCAGAGCAATGAAGTCAACAAAATAGTGCCAAAGTACCGGCAACCAGGCACACCTCAACTTCCTCACTACTGTGCTGGTCTTTTGGCTGGGACTGTGCTTTAAGCCCTCTGAGTCCATTACACGGTGGACCATCTCAATGAAATTCTTCGGCACTCCCCATGAGGCTCCCCGAGTTGCGTCTCCACTTTCTCGTCCACTCGATCGTCTGCTCGTCCGAGGCATCCTTTCGTGGGGCATCCGGTGGTGGGGCACAGTTGGGCTCGTCGTAGGTCCTTGCACCATCCTGGCGCAGCACGCGGAAACTCACGCGGGCGCAGCAGGTGCGCAGAACATCTCCCGAGATGCTTGTGCCGAACGACGTGACGCCCTGAGGAACTACGTGACGAAAAGCGGAAAGAAAATGAAAAAGAAATGAACTACGCTTGGCAGAACTGTGTAGATTACAGTGTAGGTGTCGGGAGAGAAGGCCGCCGTCCTGACCATGTGCTCTTGAAGCTCCTCAATCTTTTGATCGAAATGCAACTTTATCCGCTGCTCTTGCTCGAGCAGCAGCAGCTGCAAAGATTCCACCTGGAACTCCGGAGCGGGAGTCATGCTCACAACGATGGGAGCTTCTGGGTCCGAGTGGACCATCTCCGCTTTGCTCTCCTCATGCTCCACCTCAGCACTCATGCGCATGAACTCGCAGGATGGCAGCATGGCGCTAGGCGTTCGCTACTTGCGTCCTGAGCCGATGTGACTCGAAGTAGCTAGTGCTTGCAGTAGCAACAGGCATGGAGCTCAAAACATGCATGGAAATGGCCAGAATGAAGCTCATCCATGTTCAAGCCTCAAAAAGGGTGATGTTGCAGGTGTGCAAAATTCAATGGCACAACCCCTTTGGACAAGCAACTTGCAGAGTTCCCAATCGTAAAAAATTGCGAACCCACCGTGCCAACTTGTTCGTTGTTGGGAATTAAGATGTTTGTTGGTATTTTGCTGGAGGTTCTTTCGCTTGCTGAGTTTCAACATGGTTTTCTTAGATTTGTTCATGTATACTTAATATTCCAATAATGCTATCCATCCGCTCGCCACATGATTCGTGGTCTTCAACTTCATCTGCGTGGTTGTTTCCCTCGGGATACTCAGATACTCAGAGTGCGGAGAGAGATGGTGATGGTCGGAGTGATGTCGCATCCTTTCAATTCAACGGTTCCAATGGAGAAGAGTTTGTGTTTGTAAAAGAAAGAGAGAGAGAGAGAGCGAGGAAGAACCTATTTGAGATGAGCACGCTTTGATGAAAGCAGTGCTTCACAAAAGTGGACTTCCTCATTCCTTGAAGTGCTCAAGCCCAACAATGTGGCACGCGTGCATAGCACTCTCGCGAGTTCGCGTCGTGCATTCCGATGTCATCCATTGGCAATCAATGCTTTTACGCGAAGCGATCTCACCTTACTGAGAACAATGATGAGCGGATGAAATTGCCTCTGATGCTTCTTCTCAGACAGGTAAGAGTGAGGCAGTGATGCAGCGGAAAACACAAAGGGGGAGGAACATGAGATCAGATGAGCAGGACAAGCAATGAACCAAAGGACAGACCTGCTGCAAGTGCGACTGTTAATTCAAGCTTAGATGCTCTCTAGCAGTAGGTACAACAGGCTTAACAGCAAATGTAATATTCAATGAATTCACAAAAACATACTGATGACATGTGGGTGTTAGCCAAGAAAACGCAGCTGGTCGCATTCCTGACAACTGGATGAAGACCCCCTTCACGCAAACAATAAAACAAGCAGCATCGGTGATACAAAAGGAGATCCTCTAAGAATTCACTGTCGATATCTGCAGAATCATGGGGCAATCCAAGAGACCCATCATGTGTCGTTCGGACTTCGCAAGGTCCCAGCTGGTATCTACTTCAGAATGGCAATCCTTGTCGGGATTGCTGGGGGTACAGAATGCCTAGGCTGCAACAGTTGAAACATCTCGCCAGCCTGTGGGTCATAGTGGCAAGGAGAGAAGCCTTCAGTGCCTCAATTCTGTCGCTTGAGGCCTGAAAAATCTGTCCACACAAAAAGAATCAACATCAAAACTCAAACACGAAGAGCAACTATTGGATTACAGAACGGCATCCTTCCTGGACTGTGTCTACCGATATTTCGAGGTTGGAAACGCGTTTTTCCAACGTTCTTTTTTTCCAGCCAATTGTAAAGAGGAGCTCAGATCGGACTTTGTGATCATGTCTCACACGTCGTTTCGGAATGGACGTATATAAGTGGCAGGCATCAAATTGTATCAAAGTGTTCCAGTCAAGGGTGAACAACTCTTGCCTGGTGGTCCCTCTCTTCGTGGTGAAACATGTTATTTGTTCATGAGGCCCCTTTTTCCAACCCAAAAAAAACGAGAAGCTGCCCAGTCTTGGTAGCACACCACAAAAAAGGCAAGGCACGTCTGCGGCGATGCCAATGCCTTGGTCGACAAGAAGCGACTGGTTCACAAAAGAGCCTTCCTTTGGTACATCCGTTTCACAGTTATGGCCACTCATGGCTGATGATGGTAAGCCAGGACCTTCTCTTGGAAACTGCCAACCTCTACCCATTGGAAGGAATAGGCCTTTCTACATGACCACTTTTTCTCGCACACCGAGAACGTAGTCAAAAGTCGTCGATCATCTGCTCAATATAACTTATCTAACACACATTCTCTCACGGCCGTGCCAACTTCTCTTGGACCACCGGACCGTCGGAACCACCTGCCTCGCCTGCCTCCGCCTGCCTCCGCCTGCCTCCGCCTGCCTCCGCCTGCCTCCGCCTGCCTCCGCCTGCCTCCGCCTGCCTCCGCCTGCCT